ATTGTTCGTATTCTATCCCCTTCTCCTTTTGTCTGGGAAAAGACACGTTCGCCTGACCTGTTGCAGGAAAAAAAAAAAAAAAAAACTACGGACAAAGCTGTAGTGTATACTATCCTAGCGGCAACCTCCTCCACATCTCAACCCCCTCCTCCTTTCCCTCGCCTTGATAGCCCTTTCACAGACGCGTTTGTTACTACACAAGATTTTGCATGCATACATTTCCGTCTAACCATCCATCACATCGATGTTATTATTTATTGTTGATGGTCTGTGTTGCCAAGAGAAAACGAGAAAGAGCTTTTCCACTTCACCCACTGTGTTGGCTCCTGACCATTGTATTTGTTTTGTTTATGCTTTATTTTGTTGTTTTATTGTCTGTCTCTTTACTCAACCCTTCCCCTCTGGCTGCATGCTGACCTGATTGATTCCCTTTCCTTCACCAGCTGTTCATCGCCTCTCTCTTTCTTTCTTTTCCCTTCACTCTTTATTGCATTTTCACGCACAAGCCCGTTTGACTCGGTTGGTTGTCAATCACATTATCTATTCACGCCACCAGCTCTCTCTCTCTCTCTCTCTCTTCCCTGCAACAAACAAAAGAAGCGTGTGTTCCTGAATTTTTTATTTCTTTTTTATTCTTTGCCATTCATTTACATTACATTTCATTTCATTTCTCATTAATACTTTATTATTTGTTTATCATCAATTTGTTTATCCACTGTTTCCTATCTTACTAACAACAACAATATCCTCATCATCATCATCAACATCCACAAAAAAAAATAATATTATGAATTCTACCTGTCCTTATCAACTATCTCCTCCCCAACACGACCATCCTCATCGCCTCAACATCCTTGCCCTTACCACTAGTAGAACCAAGAGACCCCTGCTGATAAAGATCTCTGGCATCCCTGCCGAAAATGGCAAATGCAGAGTCGAGACACAGCTCAAGATTGGCTTTCATCTTCGAGGTGTACATGGGGAGGCCATCATGGATTATAAGCAACTCCGACTCCCTCGTGCACTCATCGCTAAAGAGAAGCATCGTATAGAGAAATTTAATGGTAAAAAAAAAAAATTTGCTATGCTTGTATATCCTAAAAAGTCACCCAGCATGTCGCCGGCTGCGGTAGTAGATTGTCATTTTTTTTTTTTTTTTTTTTCCTGGTGGTCTTCAATATACCAGCATTCAATGTACAATAATCTAACATGATCCATCCGCAATACCTCGGTGGTTTATTTTTTTATTTTTTTTATTTTTTTCCTTTCGTGAACATAGGCCGTGATAAGCATCTTCAAGATTCAGAGATTCTGACACTTGATGCACGGTTAGTATGTGATCATGATATGACCAAAGTATTGGAATGTTGTGATAACTGCATTGGCCGTGAACGTAAGCGAGCACATCGCAGAAAAGAATCACAAAAAGACGCAAGTAATGAAGGAGGAGGAGGAGGAGGAGTAGGGAACGGAGGGAATGGGACGTTAGGATCAAGTAATAATAGCATTCCTCCAGTCTTTGGTGCCATCATTCCCAAGAAGAATGCGAGTGCAGCAGCCACAGCAGCCCTTGTAGACGAATGTAAAAAAGACCCACCGACGCCTACAGACCCAATTGAATACCAACGATGGGAACGTAGTAGGATCATGGTCTTCAGTAGCACGGAGTATGTTGACATCTCTGCTGCCGGAGAATGTGTACTGCCCACACGAATCACATGCTACTGCCGACATCACAATGAAAAAGTTGGATTTCGGTAAGTTATTATATTTATATTTATATTTATTTATTTATTTATTTATTTATTTAATGTACTTTACTAGAATTTTATTACGATTACAGTATGCTTGTCATGTTAAAGAGTGATTTGAGCAAAAAAAAAAAAAAAAAAAAAAAGAAAGAGAGAGAGTGAATGAGGATGGAAGAACGCGCAGCTGGTAAAAAAAAAAAAAACAAAAACAAAAAAGGGATAAAAAAAAAAAATGTAACCATCGTAAAGACATTGGAGGTCACATCGACGGGCACACCATTTGTCGGTTATCACCGTCGCCTCCATCATACTGTCATACTTTCCGCATCAACAAAATATATCAACTGTACACGAATATCAAGCAATCAGCCTTGCTTCTTCTTACTCCTGCATGGCCGTCAAATTTTCACGTTTGGCGTATTCAGAATGCGCCCTCATTTTCAGCTGACAATCATTTAGTTTGCACATGCTAAAGTTTCTAATATTCTTATTATTATTTTCCTCCTTTCTCTTTGTATTTGTACTTTGACTCATTCGCTTTTATCCACATACTATTTACTTTCAAATGTACATAGTATTCAATTCACTGCAAAGGACTGGACTGGTGCTGTCGTAGCGTCGGTATTGACAAACCCAGTGATGATGATGGACGATCACAAGTCTGGAAAGAGAGCACTGCCTGGTGCAATTAAAACATCGGGCGGCACTATCAGAAAAGCAAAGGCCCCATCAAACGGACGGCAGCCACAGCAACCATCATCGTACAACGCAATAGATCAAGAAGAGGAAAATGAAGATATTAAAGATGAACAGTATGACGACGACCTGGATTTAGAGTCCGGCAATTACGCTTCACGTGCAGCGGGTGCACTAGCAATCAAGATGGAGGCTGAGGACGACTATTCATCCAGCGATGTTTTGAACCCGCTCGAGTCCTCGAATGCTAGGACGGCAATCAAACGCAGGGTCGACGAAGCTGACGAGCACATGATGGAGGATAACTATCCTCTATATCAGCAATCTTTCCGCCGAAAGACCAGTCATGATATTTCACACAACCCGCACTTTACATCCACTACTTCCTCACCTTCCACAGCCCCCTCGTTCACATTCGCACAAAGTGGGAACGATACGTCCCTCTCGCCCTTTATGCCAGGATCACCATACGCAAATGATGATGAGCACAGCACTTTTGCTCCATCATTTATTCACGCTCTTTCGCCCAACGACGCCGCCTTTTTGGAACAGCAGCATCGCGAACATTTTCGAGTAGAGAATGCTACCTCCGTACTCGAGAGCTTTACAACATCGGACGGATCCATGACGCCATCAAGTGAATTTCACTACTCTGGAGCCTTTATACCTCCTTCGCCTTCAGCTAGTGGATATAGCGCCTTGTCAACTCCTAATAGCGGCTACCCGACTCGAGCATCTTTTACAATCCCAACAAGCATTAGTCCTACATCCTCGATGCTGTATCAGCCCATGTCACCTTTCTCTCCCACTCTTGCCTCGCCTATCGATTGTCCTACCCCTGCAATGAGTCCGAGTTTTTTAGATACGATGCAAATGCAAGATTTTCAAAGCTTTCAGCACCAGAATCAACAACAACAACAACGTCAACAACTATTCTTGCAATTCCAGCAGGGGCTGAAACAGCAGCAGCAGCAACAGCAACAGCGGCCAGGTAATGATGGCAAGCCTGCCACTACATGGATCGCCTCTCCTGTTTCAGAAGGAAAGGACACATTTCAAAATTCTTTGCCTCCAACTCCTTCCTCCAGTGCCTATATTCCGATTCCAATCTCATTACCGGACAATGTAGGATCCGAATGCAATAACAGCAACTCCTCCACTGCTGTGTCACCCGAGTCAGAAGAAGGTTTTTGTGAAGCGCAGGGGCCTACAGGTGGAAATAAAAAGCGTGGACGTCCTCGCAAGAGCATTACAGTAGCCTCTAATGGTGGCGCTGCTGCTACTGCTAGTACTGATTCCACCTCAACTACGGCGACAGCATCTTGTGCAAGCTCTCCGATGATCTCACCCAAGGCACCTTCAACGAACATGCCGCCTTCTCCGTCCCCGCCGCCCTTCCTGGGACTCACGGATTCGACAGCCACAACACCCACTCTTGCGGCTGCTACTCTTTCAGGTATTCCAAGCACCTCTGCAGCAGCAGCAGCTCAATTTCTGTTGTTTCAACAACAGCAACAGCAACAAAAGCATCAGTTGATGTTACAACAGCAACAGAAGCAAGCAATCTTGGCTCGTCAAATCCGCTCGAACCAATGTTTCCAAATGCAGCAGCGCCTCCTACAACAGCAACAACAACGCCAACAACACCTGCCACGTGGTTCTCCACGTGTCCAAAAGCTGATTCCAGCCAAGGGTCCTGTTGAGGGTGGTGTTGAGATTACGCTCCTAGGCACAGGTTTCTTCCTTGGTATGGTTCCAACGTTTGACGGAGTTCCTGCATCGAGTATACAGTATTATGGATCTGAGACCGTTGTCTGCAAGCTCCCTCCTCGAGCATATCCAGGGATAGTCGTAGTCAAGGCACATGCTGATCCAAACACGTTGTTTTCATCTTCTATTGCCGGCCTCAAGACCGAAGATAATGTCGGTGCTCTCGTATCAGCCAATTCCAATAATGGGTTGACACAAACGATAAACCAGTTCTTTGGCAGTTCTAGTGCGGCTAGTTTGAGCATGCCTAGCTCAGACGATGTCGATATGGATTCGAGCTTGAACGATGATGTCGGAGTTGTGTTTGAATATGAGGAGGACAAGGGTGATCGTGAATTGTTTGCTTTGGCGCTGCAGGTTGTGGGGATGAAGATGAATGGACGAATCGAGGCTCCACATCAGTTAGCCATGCGAATCATGACGACTGCAGCGGCCCAACAACAACAGTTGGTGGAACAGCAACAGCAACAGCAGCTATTGCGCCAACAGCAACAACAGTTCCAGTTATTACAACAGCAGCACCAATTGCAGAGTTCACAAGGCGCTGCTATCATGCCTGTTTCTCCAGTATCCTCAACCCCACATTCCAATGCCCTGACAAAATTGAATACAGTCAATAACAACAGCAACAGCAACAGCAATCTAGGGAAGGTAGCAACGAATGGTGCTAATAGTGGTACTACGACTCGTCAATCGTCGCCCTCTGTCAATGCCAGGAGCCGCGGACCATCTCCAACAGCAGCTAATCCTGTGGGATCATCATTGATGCCTATTCAGCTGCAGTCCCCGCAATCATTGCAGACAGGCTCGATTGCGAGGTTTAATTCCGTGCAGAATTTGAGGCAGCAATGATCGCCTTAAAGATCATTTCTTCCTTCTTAACAAAGAACACAAACATGAGGAGGGTTAGTCAAATGTATATCGATGGACATGGAGAGTCTCTCCTTCTTTGGATTGGATACCATTTTTTTTTTCTTTCTTTTTCTTTTTTCCTCTTATATATCTTTTACCACATTTCATCATATTTATTCCTTGTAGTAATATTCATTCATTCATTCATTCATTTATCCCCCATTCATCTTTCATATTTTTTTTTCTTGTAGTTTTTTTTTTTTTTTTTTTTTTTTTTTATCTTTTTGTATCGATAGCTTTTTCTTTTGACCTTCAACACTGTGCACATTTCTTCATAGTTTTTCTTTCTTTCGACTCTCCATCATCATTGCATTCCTCTTTCCTCTTTTTTTTTTTTTTTTTTTTTTTTTTCTTAGACGCCTATACCAGGGGGGGTTTTTTTTTTCTTTTTTTGAAAAATAAAAAAAAAGAAAAGAAAAGAAAAAGGTTGATGTGTCTCATAGTCTAAATTCTCATGGAGCACGTGCCTCATTTTGAATATATTTCTGGTGCCTATTTTAAGACTCCCCTTAATTAATTCTCTAGATTTTTTTCTTTTGTGATGTTGCAAAATTTAGGGGCAGATGTGGTAGGAGATTTAGGTCGTTTTGGTGGATTATGAAGCCGGTCACTTCCAGCTGCAGATAGATAAATAATTCTAACACAATAAAAGAACACACACACTACTCAAAGACTGGACGAGAACAGTCAGTACTCAAATGGCTCTTGTGTAAAAATAAGGAACCTTTAATGATCTATGGCTACTAACGACGAACGTTGTGAGGGCTCTTTACCTGGACGAGAACAGTCAGTACTCAAATGGCTCTTGTGTAAAAATAAGGAACAAGGAGCCAGATTTTCCTGAGCTGTTGCTCGTTAAATAGTTGGTGGCGAACCCTCTACACGTGACTAAAACTAAAACCAACACCCCCACCAGCTGCGAAGTTCGGCTCCGCCAAGCCGCAGCTCAAAAAGAAAGAAACTCATTGTGCTGTTTGCGCTTCTACCTCTTTCCACCTTGACTCTTGCTACCCCGCATTTTGGTCATTGCATCATTGTTCTTGTCACCCTTTGGTTCGCCTTGGCATCGACCAAGGAAAATTTTCTTTCTTCGGCCAATCATTTTGATCCGTGATCACGCCATTACTTCCACATGATGATGTTGCCATGGACATAAATGTTGGTTCATTCCTCCATTCCCTTTTTTTTTTTTTTTTTTTTTTTTTTTCTTTTTTTTCATTCGCAACTCCTTCCTCCTTGCCCTGCTTGAACTACTTCATCGTCATCATGGCCCGCACTGTTATTAAGAAAGACGAGGTTCCTCCTTGCCCAAGACCAACCACTTCCACCAAGACAATGCTTCCCTCTTCGGACAAGAGCTTAAGTCTGTCTTTGGGCACGTCTCCAGAGTCGCGTCCTGCTGCCACTTCTCACTCTCCTATCACTCCTTCGACCCCTACCACTCCTCCTGCTTCTGCTTCTTCTTCTACTCCTGCCGTTGTTCCTGCTCCTGCCGTCGTTGTCACTCCCCCTTCTTCTGCTTCTCCTGAGGTGGTTGCCCTTACTGACCACGAGGTTGGCCCTTCCTCTGTTTCGCCATTTGCAGCGGAGAAGTCTTCTCCAGAATCTCCTCAGTCCCAGACAGTTCCCCCCCCCGCTCGAGAGCTAAATAAGCGGTCAGCTGAGGCCTTTCAAGACATAGACGAGCCAATTGAGAAACGCGTACGGGCGAAGT